GCGGAACCTCATCCATTTGATCATCCCCAACGTTCACATACCACGAAGCAATGTTTCCGAGCTCATTGTTTGCCATGGTTGCACCTATAATTTCTCAGCACGTTAGTAACATGGAAGGAAAAGAAGATATTCCAAAAACACACCCAACTATATAGCTAACATCGTTTTTAACTCCCCGATAATGGTCCAAAAATTGACTATCGCGCATAATGCACACCTCAAAATAAGGTATGAAACGGTCGACTGCAATTATAGTAACCCACTGAAGATTCGGGATCGAATCCACAGGGAGCTAGATGGGAGTTAGAAGTATATATTCTAATGTGTGAATTTGAATTATCATAATTTACACTTCCACAAAATGGTTTTGTTGCTATTTCTATTTTAAAAATAAAGATTGCAAAGTAAAGGAATAAAACTAGGATAATTGTTTTTGTTGTTTTTCAAGTTTGTAAAAAGCCTAGGTCTATGACCATCACCTAGATGTTCGCCTAATGGGATAAAAATCTCAATGCTTGTTTTGCTGATCGGAGTGTATTATAGCTATCAACTCTCAAATACCCACTCAATGCCTCTCGGTGAGAGAGTGCTTGGCAAGCCTTTGAGGATATAGAGGAGGAGGCTTAGGCAATGGTGCCTTAGCCTTTTGCATTACCGGTTCTGGTATGTCAATAATGTGATCCCTAGACGGGCTCACTTCCTCTTGAGTCTCTTCCATATTGTCATCAATATCAATCCGCACTTCATCATGTGCTTGCACCGCATTGTTTGGGATCTCTTCTTCTTGTACTACTTGCTCATCATCCACAAGTTGCCTTTGCCTTGAGGTGGGTGCATTCCCACCTCTTCCACTTCTTGTCGTAATGGCCATGGCATGTCCCGTGTTGTTCCCACCCTTTGGGTTCACTACCGTGTCACTTAGTAGTGCCCCTTAGGACGAGAATTTAAAGCTTGAGAGATTTGCCCCATTTGCACTTCTAAGTTGAGAATCGATGTGTTGTGTGAGGCAAGTTGAACGTCGGAATAGGCATGCTTCTCCAACATTTGTTTGAACATATTCTCAATACGCCACATTTTATTATTGGAAGAACTAGGACCATGGAAAGGATAAGGAGGCGGGTTGCTTGGTTATTGATACATCGGGGGCCTTTGAAAACCCGACCCCTGATTACCTTGATTGTTACTCCATCCACCTTTATTTTTACCTCCCCAATTGCCTTTGTTATTGTTGTTATGCACTTATGCAAATTCCCTTGATTATTGCCACCACTCCAATTTCCTTGATTGTTGTTGTTGTTCCAATTGCTTTGATTATTTCCACCACTCCAATTACCTTGGTTGTGAGAATTCTAATTTCCTTGATTGTTTTTAGGTAGCCATTGTTGTTGGATTGGGCCTTGAAAGTTATTTCTTTGCCCTTAAAAGTTGTTCACATATTAGACCTCTTCTTATTGGTCATTATAAGAGTCATCTTGATCAAACCCACTATCTTCTTGCACAAAATTATCCACTATTTGTTGCACTTATGGACTCTTTTTTCTCCGTTTGTTCACCATCATGCTTACTCCCTCCATTGCATTGACTTGCCTCGGGTTTTACACGTGTTGAAGTTGAGCCTTTGCTAATTGGTTCATGGTGGTAGTCAATTCGGCTATGGCTTGCCCATGGTCATGCAACTCTTTGTGACGGTGAATCACATTGGGATCACCTTATAGAACATTAGCCCGGGATTGCCACGCCGATGAAGTATCCGCCATTTCATCCAAAATATCACACGCCTTCGCATAAGGCGTAGTCATGAAGTTCCCACCGGTAAGTTGATTCACTACACATTGGTTGGTTGTGTTGATCCCCCGATAAAAAGTTTGTTGAATCATGTTCTCCGTCATATCATTGTTAGGACACCTTTTAACCATTGTTCTATATCGTTCCCATATCTCGTGTAGTGGTTCATTGGGTTCTTGCTTGAATGCTAGAATTTCATCCCGAAGTATAGCCATGTGCCCGGGGGAGAAGTACTTAAAAATATATTTCTCCGCCAATTCATCCCAAGTATGAATGGAATTGTTTGGCAAACGTTCCAACCAATCTAAAGCTTTCCCCCTTAGAGAGAAGGGAAAAAGCCTTAGCCTCAAAGCATCCTCGGATACATTTGTTTGTTTACTCCCCCAACACGTATCCACGAACCCCTTCAAATGTCTGTATGCATTTTGACCCGGAGCACCGGTGAAGAACCATCGTTACTCAAGCAAGGTGAGCATCACGTTGGTTATTTGAAAGTTACCTGCCCTAATACGGGGAGGGACTATTACACTTGCATATCCTTCATTCGGCAACACCCGGTGTGGAGTCGCTCGTGGTGGAGGTGGGGGTGGAGCGGGCACATTGCCATGAGGCACTCTGCCTCGTCTATTGGCTTGAGGTTCAAGCGGAACCTCCTCTATTTGATCATCCTCAACGTCCACATCCCTCGAAGCAATGTTTCCGAGCTCATTGTTTTTCATGGTTGCACCTATAATTTCCCAATATATTAGTAACACGAAAGGAAAATAAGATATTCCAAAAATACACCCAAATATATGGCTAACACCGTTTTTAACTCCCCGGCAATGGTGCCAAAAACTGACTATCGCGCACAATGCACACCTCAAAATAATGTATAAAACGGTCGACTGCAATTATAGTAACCCAACGAAGAGTCGGGAACTAATCCACAGGGAGCTAGATGGGAGTTATAAGTATATATTTTAATGCGTGAATTTGAACTATCTTAATTTGCACTTCCACAAAATGGTTTTGTTGATATTTCTATTTTAAAACTAAAGATTGCAAAGTAAAGGAATAAAACTAGGATAATTGTTTTTGTTGTTTTCAAGTTTGTAAAAAGCCTAAGGCTATGACCATCACATAGGTGTTCGCCTAATGGGATAAAAATCTTAATGCTTATTTTGCTGATCGGGGTATATTATAGCTATCAACTCTCAAATACCCACTCAATACCTCTCTGCCAGAGAGTGATTTTGTACAATTTGTCTTTCTCAAGTCTAAATGGGTATCATACAAAACGGTTGATAAAAGTTTAAGTCGGGTTATTACTATCTCTAGGTTGAACCCTTTAATTGGGTTAATCAATCTCTCGATTGACCCAATTTCTTGTTAACCAAGTTTTTCTGGACTAAGTCTCTCTTTCTCAAGTAGATACTAAGTCAAATAGGCATGAACTAATATTTGTAACCATTAATTTCATAAATTAAAGCATAAATAAGGATAAATAATAAACACTCAATCATAAACAAACACTAAATTAGAAACCCATAAGGCTTACACACTACGGTTGGGTCATAACCCTAGTAAAAATCTAGCTACTCATGCTTGAAATTGAAGAAATAGAAGAAGAAATACTAATTAAACTCATATTGTAAAGTTACAATGATAAATTTTATAGTAAAATACTCTAAAATATAGAAAACTTCCAAAAGAGGCAAAGAAAAATGGCTACATGACTTGTTGATGTCGAAAGTTGACCTAATTTTATGAAACTCGCTATTTATACAAGGCTAAAAATTTCGGACAAAAATGCCCTTCGGGAGGTTCTGCAGCCGCACAATTTCATGTGCGATCCACACAAATTTTCATCTTGCAGGAGCTGGGATTCTGCGGCCGCACAATTCTGAATTGCGGCCGCGAGACAACATTTCTGTGGTCCGTAGATTTGAACTGCGGCCGCAACCTAGTCTTCTGCGGTCCGCACTTTATGTCTGCGGCCGCAAGGCACTTCTCCTGCGGCCGCACAATTCTTTTGCGGTCCGCAATTCTAAGGGACTTGGAACTTGAAAATTTGCACACCCTCTGAAGTTGATCTCAAGGTATTTGTTTGCGGCCACACAATTCATGTGTGGTCCACAGTTTGCTAGAAAGTCTGTTGGGACTTCCTTTATTGTTTGCGGACCGCAATTTCTTATGCGGCCGCAAAATTCTTTCTGCGGCCGCACTTTGTATGCTTTTGTACCCTTTTGTTGCCTTGAGCTCGGACTACTCCTTTTAGTCGGATTTCATCTCGGGAGTCCAACTTCTAACATTCCTGCAATTTTACACTTTTCATTAGTTTTGGGAACACGATTCAATTTTAGACTAAAACAAAAGCAAAAAGGCGCTAATAAATAGTCAAAATCCATACTTATCAACACTCGACAATGGCAGATGGCCTGCCCCTTTTTTCTTTATAGTTATGGATAGATATATGACAAATATTAGGATAACTCACTTACTTCACATATTCTAGAGGGTAAGGTCTAAGCCCCCCTTAGCATTGTCTCTCCCTTCAAGTTCAGGAAATAAAATAGAGTATTTATTCTTGCAAAAAAAAAAAAAAAAAAAAAAAAAAAAAAAGGTAGATTCGGTCGAAAATTTCAAGCTAAAGATCTCTTCTAACACTTAGTCTCCAATTTAAATTTTTTTGTTGTGCCTATATAAAATATGGTAAGGTTTTATTAGGTTCCTTTGAAATTGGTGCTGATTTGATCTTTTTTCAACTATAATAGGTATATAATGTAAATAGTTTGTGAGTAGGAATTCTTTATGGGTAGAAGCGGGTAAATTTTTTTGTTTTTATAGGCATTCCTGATACTTCCTTGACTAACACCCCCAGCGGCAGTGGTGGATCCACAGTGTTAGTTACGGACTCGCGTGAATTCAATAATTTGTGCTCTATGTATATATTAAGAAATAAACTAAATATTTATAAATATTTGATTGTGAAACCAATTATTATTGTAGTATAAACTTGAAATCCGTATAAAAACTCATAAACGTCAAATTATATATCCGCTTCTGAATACTTTCTATAAATCGCTAGGATTATGGCGGTATATTTGGTGATGCGACAAAAGAGAGGAATCATAAGTTTTGAATTTAAGATTCTAAATTGAGATATTCTTTCTTTTATTCTTTCGAAGGCTCAAAAATAGTAAAAGCTTCAAAATAGTAAAAGATTTAGGATCTCCTACAAGAACTCTATCCCTCTTACTTTTTTTTTTCTTTTATATATATATATGCAGCAGTAATGGAAAGGTTTAATCATTCAACAAAACAGATTTAAAAACATCTCTCTTTCTCTCTCCATTTTTAGGATTCATAAATATTTCTCCTAAAATATTCTTCTTTTACATTTTGATATTTCAGGAGGAATATATATACCATGAAAGGAGCAACATTTATAGCCACTATCACCTCAACAACAACAATCATGACAATGTTGTTGTTCTTCGCGATCGATGTCTCAACTGTAGCAGCAGGATTTCCAGACACAAAGACTGTTGTCGTAACCAATAACCACACAAATTACCTAAGCATCCGATGCTTCTCCTTCGACGACGATGGTGAAGTTAGGCATCTGAATAAAATGGGAAGTTTCAACATCAGTGTCGAAATCAGGAAATTCTTCCCTTCTTCCACCATGTACAATTGCTCCACAAACATGGGAACTTTCGTCGCCTTTCGATCCGACTACGAATGCATTAGTCATTCAACACCTTGTGAATGGAGGTTTGATGAGGAGTTCACATATCTCTACAATCCCAAGGATGAAGAGTGGGTTATTCATGAATATAATCCAAAGTATGAGTCCCTCAAAAGAGGAGGAGTCATCAAAGGGTATTATGTTAACTAAACATTAACAGACAAGCTTAAATAGAACAACATAGACAGTGAAGATTCAGATAGTCGACTCCAACTTGCTTCGACCATCAGAAAGCTTCACAAAATCCACGACTAAAGAATGTACCTAGAGATTGTCTTATAGATAGGGTAGGGAGAAAATTAAAGTTGGTTATAACATGTAAGATAACTAGAATATTTAGTGTAAGATTTTAGACAATTGTAGCTGAAGCTGAGGAAGGGGAGCTTTAGCATAACTGGTAAAGTTGCTGCCACGTGACCAGAAGGTCACGGGTTCGAGCCGTGGAAATAGCCTCTTGCAGAAATGCAAGGTAAGGCTGCGTATGATAGACCCTTGTGGTCCGGCCCTTCCCCGGACCCCGCGCATAGCGGGAGCTTAGTGCACCGGGCTGCCCTTTTCCGTAGCTGCAGCTAAGGTCCCTTTAGGAATTCAACTTGGGACACTGCAAAGCTTCGTGGATAGCTTCGCAAGCTATGTTCAGTATGTAATAGTTGTATCTCATCATGTATTCATCAAGATGTGGCATTTATTTGATACCACAAGCCGGTTTGGGATTCCCTTTCCATCTGTCATTATTAGGAATGCCTTCTAAAACCATGAATATAATTATGAAAAAGGAGCAAAGAAGTACCACAATGTCAACCTCTCGTTGTAGTATGTGGTTGTATCTTGGCCTCCCTTCTTGTTGTGTCATAGTTGTGTTTTGAGTTTGAAGATTTAAGACAAATAAGACTAACTAGGCACAGAAGTGAATCCAAACTTAAGCTTTCTACCACTCCTTTGGTGCACTGAAACATGTGTTTTATCTTCGTGTAGACAGCAGAAATATTGTCTTTCCATGTTCTGATTCCTTCCAACGACTCAACTTAGGACGATTCCTCCTTTAAACTAGCAGCAATCTCCATAGGCCAGCTCTGTGAAATGTCTTAGTATTTACCAGCTTCGTTGTTAAATGGATAACTCACAAGTTACTGACCAGAGGATTTCAAACTTAGTGTTCGGATCACAGTGCATTGGTTATGGTTGTTCTCAAGAGAATTCATCAGCAGGTTCCGCATCAGAACCATACTCTTCCAATTTAGAGAGGAGCATAATCTCATCGAGCATTTTATATATTGCCTGAGATTGGGGGTGCGAGTCATCAGCAACCACAAATTCGTAAAAAGTACCATCGACCTCTATCAAACTATATCCTGGACTCTTCTTGACGCCTTTAGCTCGCATCAAAGTTCTAACCATTCTAACATCAGCCCATTTCCTCTCATTAGCGCACAGACTTGCCAGAAGCACATAAATACCACTATCTTGAGGATCTAATTCTATAAGTTTCTCAGCGGCGACCTTGGCCAGCTCAACATCTCCGTGCATCCGACAACCATTAAGAAGAGCACCCCAAACAGCTTTATCAGGTTCCATTGGCATTTGTTTTATAAAATTATAAGCTTCTTTCAGATGCCCAGATCTACTAAGTAAATCAACCATGCAAGCGTAGTGTATCACCTCGGCCAACAATCCATTTAATTCCATGCTCCTAAAGTATTCCCAGCCTTGATTGACCAATCCACCATGAGCACATGCCGATAAAACACCCACAAATGTGATGCTATCGGGCTTGAATCCCGTACATTTCATTTGTTCAAAAAGAGCGAGGGCCTTCTCGGTGAGCCCATGAGAAGCACATCCTACGATTACTGAATTCCAAGAGACCAAATCTCTTTCTGGCATTTCGTGAAAGAGCTCTCGAGCAACATCCATGCTTCCACATTTGCCGTACATGTCTATTAATGTGTTTGCCAAGATCACGCTGTATTTAACCCGTTTTTGCTTAATATAGTAATCATGAATTCGTCGAGCAAAATCCAAAGAACCAGATTGAGCACAAGCAGAGAGCACAGAAACCAAAGTGCTCTCTATGGGAACCAAACCTTGTTTCTCCATTTCATGAAAGAGTTCAAGGGCCTCCCAAGGTCTATTATTTTGCGAGTAGCACGCAATCATCGCAGTCCAAGAAACTATATTTCTCTCAGACATATCACTAAAACACTTTTTTGCCATGTCTACCTCCCCATTTTTGGCATAACCGTGGATCATACTTGTCCACGAAAAGACATCCTTTATTTCCATCTTATCGAAAATCTCTTTAGCCATAGGCAAACAACCACACTTCACATACATATCCAATACGGCATTCATCAAATTAAGACTGCATTTCACACCCCTTTTCTCCACGAGTTCATGAATCGATTTCCCCAAACTCAAATCCCCCTTCAACGAACACGCAGAAAACACCGTTATCAACGTAACATCATTAAACTCAACACCATTTGAACACATCAACTCAAACAACCCCAACGCCTCATCAACCATATTCCTCTTCACATACCCATCAATCAAGCTAGTCCAGGTAACCACATCCCTCACAGGACTTTCATCAAACACCTTCCGGGCATCGACAACTTTCCCGCTCTCTCCATAAAAATGAATCAAACCATTCCTCACAATCAAATCATTCAAGAATCCAACTTTCCAAATCCTACACTGCACTGAACCCCCCACCCCCTCCAAAACCCTACACCCTTTCAACACAAAAACATAACTTCTTTTATCCATTTCAACATTTTCCCTTACCATTCTCCTAAAAACCCAAAAACCCTTTTCAAAGAGCTGATTTTTAACATAACCCCTAATCATAGTATTCCAAATATACACATTGGGTTCATTAATTTCAGAAAACAAAGAATTTGCATAGTGTATATCACCATTAACATCCAAAGCACAAAAGGATATTAGTCTACTGATTGGAAAAATGTGAGAAATTATGCCAGTGTGTATCATTTTGGCTTGAATTTGCTTTAGTTGTGATATTGACTTGCAAGATTCTATGAGGATAAGAGTTGGGTGGGTGATTACAAGATTTGGGTTTTGGTTTGAGTTCCATTTTGGTTGTGAGGAAAATAATAGCTTGTGAAAGTGAGGGAAAGATTGGATTTTTTTTATGAATGGAAAGTGTGGGAATTTCATAAGAAGAAGGAAAGAGGTGAGTGTTGTTCATTGATTCTGCAACAGTTCTTTTGTTGAAGGACTTAAGGGACTATTTCGGGCTTATTCTCACAGCATTTTATCACACTATAATGCTAATTCTTGTAGTATTTGTTATAGTATCACATTGGACTCACTATAAAATAATACTCCCTCTATCTCAAATTATGTCATATTTCTCTTTTGCACGTCACTCCGAAAAATATTAAATATGAAAAAATTTTGACTATTTCATCCTTATTTATGTTATAAGATATAATCTTTCTTTATTTAATATTTACTCATAATTGAGGTATTTATAGTTTTCAAAACAATTAATATTAAGAGTAAAATAGAAAAAAATAATTAATTTAATCTTGAATTTCTAAAATGATAATTCGAGACAGAGGGAGTACAGAAATTCATAAATAATAATGTATTGATATTCACAATATTGAGATTGAAGTGGTAACCAAACGTTGTAATAATCAATACATATTTATATACATGAATTATTTGCCTTAATGTACGCTTAGAGGCCGTTTGGTTCAAGGGGTTAGGTAGGTTATTTTGGTAAAATTTTGGTTATCATGTGTTTCGTATGAGGTATTAGCTAAAACTAGTACTTATTTTATACCAAAATTTTGGTATAACTTATCTCGTATAGAAGGTGAGATAAGTTATTACTATAATAATCCTAATTTTAATGTTAGGATTATAATCGTGGAATATTTTGATTTTGAACCAAATAACCCATCGTGTTATCGGGAAAAGGATACTAATCCCAATATAAATTTAGGATAATTTTTGTCCCATATTTTTATTTTTGGGTATTAGCTAATGCGAGATAAATTTTATATCAAAATTATGATATTACATATCCCATATAGGAAGTGAAATTATAATCATGGATATCCCCTGCTCTAAACTAAATGATCTGTTAAGGTTAACTTAAGACAATTAATTTTGAAATTTTGGGTTATTATTTTAACTTTCTAATTGTTAACCAAAAAAAACTTTTATTTTACCCAAAAAAAAAAAATTTGAATATTGGATTTACATGTGAGTGAAAATCATTCCATCAACTTTGAACAATATATATTCTCCCTTCTTTCTCAATTGACTTTTTTAAAAAGTCTATTTTACCCTTTATATTTTCATCATTTATCTCTCTTTTTTTCTTTTTCTGTTTAACAAAATCATGATACTTTTCAAATTTCTAAAAATCTATGTTATAAACTTACCTATCTAATAATATATTTAACATAAAAAATAAAAATAAAAATTAAGCATATAATTTAATGATGTTGAATAATGAAAATAATTAGCGGAATAAAAAAGATAAAATTGTCAAAACTATTAAAATTGGAGATATATTCTGTAACAACAACTACGCCCCAATCCCAAGCAAGTTGGGGTCGGGATATAAATTTTAATTTCTTTCATTTAGTTCAACTCGTATCATCATTATTACCAAAATAAAATAAGACTGTAAGTACAATATATATATA